TAGGAGTAGGAGTAGGAGTAGGAGTCAAGCTAGCCAGCTCGAGCGAGTAAGCATGGCATGCCCAGTCCCACCCGCCCTCCCACAACATAAGAAGCAAAGCTGGCACAACTGGGGGCCGAAGTCACACCGGCCAGCCGGTTTGGTACAGCTGATGCGGCCGCGATGGCGGTTGCCGACGGGACTGGCGAGCGCGTGTTGAATGCCGCGCACGCATTGCCAGACGAGTCGAGAATGGCCCGGTACACCGCAGGAAGCCAGAGGTGGCCGGAGGAAGCCCGACGGTCTGACAGGACACCCCAAAGCATTTTTGTGAAAAAGCATTGGGTTTTTGATGTTTTTTATGTTGAAATGCTTGCAAACACACGGTGTTCGGTAGGATTCTGACATGAACGCGCGAGTGTGCTCTTTGTGGTATTTTTTGCACAGGATTCGCGGCCTGGGTGCATGACAGAGCATCGCGAGTGCACCGCGCGATGACGTGAAATCGCTGGATTCGACAGAATTCTTAAGATTCCTATGGTTTTCCTATGATTTCAGCAAGAGAGCCTGGGCGGGAAATTTGTACAATTTTTGTGCAAAAAGCATTGGGTTTTTGATGTTTGTATGTTGAAATGCTTGCAAACACACGGTGTTCGGTAGGATTCTGACATGAACGCGCGCGTGTGCTCTTTGTGGTATATTTTGCAATGGATTATCGCCGTGGACGACAGGACGTCCATGTCGAGAGGAAAAAATAAGAAAAATGTTGATTTTGTATTGTTTTTTACTGGTTAGGATGGGACCACCCGGATGCGGCCCCTATCGGCCGGCCTGAGGGGGGAGTAGGAGTATATTCTAATAAGGAATAAGGATAGGAGAAGGAGTAGGAGTAGGAGTAGGAGTCGGAGTGCAGGAGTTGGAGTAGGCGTAGTAGTAGTAGTAGTGTAGTAGTAGTGTCGTCGTAGTAGTAGTAGTAGTTAGTAGTAAAGTTAGTAGTCGTAGAAGTTTAGTAGTAGTTGTAGTAGTGTTAGTTAGTAGTAGTAGTTAGATAGTCGTTAGTAGTGTAGTAGTAGTAGTAGTAGTAGTGGTGGTAGTTTAGTAGTAGTAGTAGTAGTAGTGTAGTAGTATTGTGGTAGTCGTAGTTAGTAGTAGTCTTAGTTGTTAGTAGTTAGTGTAGTAGTGTAGTTGTGGTATGTAGTTAGTAGTAGTTTTAGTAGTAGTAAGTAGTAGTGTGTAGTAGTAGTTAGTAGCAATAGTAGTAGTAGTAGTAGTAGTAGTAGTCGTAGTCGTAGCAGTAGTAGTAGTAGCAGTAGTAATAGCAGTAGTAATAGTAGTAGTAGTAGTAGTAGTAGTAGTAGTAGTAGTAGTAGTAGAAGAAGAAGAAGAAGAACAAGAAGAAGACCAAGTAGTAGTATCAATAGCAGTAGCGGTATTAACTGGAGGAGCAAGAGGACGAGGACGAGCAGGAGGAGCAGGAGGAGGACAAGAAGAAGGAGGAGGAGCAGGAGGATGAGGGGAATAAGGAGGAGGAACAGGAGGAAGAGAAGGGATATCAGGAGGAGCAGGAGGAGGAGGAACAGGAGAAAGAGAAGGGACGAGCTTCATTCCCCGCAGAAAGCAACAAGGGGGGGGGTGCAGAACTAAACGCCAAGCGTGAAGAAACCGCACCGCCCGGATCTCAGGGCATGGGGAAGGGAGCACGACGACTCGACATAGACGACGACCACGGCGGCCTCTGCGGCGACGGCCCCCTGGCCCCCCAACACCATGCTTTTTCTCTACGTGCGCAACTGAAGGTCTGGACCCACTCCCCAAGACCAGCTTGTCATCAGGAATGTTTTTTTGCTCAATGGCCCAAAACCTCCCGTCTTGTTTGTTTTTGTTTTGCGACGCGAGCATGTCTGTCGGCGGCACGCCTAGGGGGAAGTTAAAAGGGGCGGGCCTTCTCGGAAGGCTCGGAAGTCCCCCCGGCCTCCTGAGAAGTTTCCTCTGCCTTCCCCGAAGACACAAAAATCTCCTCAGCAGGCGCGAGGGCTTCTGAGAAGCCTCGCCACCGTCTGAGAAGGTCTCTTCCTTCCCACTTCCCCCCCTCGCTCGCCGCCGACGTTTTCCCTGATACCTCTCTGAGAGCTAAGAGGGGTGCAGATTAAGAAGCCAGGGCCGCAGGATAGTCCTGGAGCCCGTTCTGGCTTCGGGCAGGAAGCCTCGGCGCGCCTCCTGCGGGCCAGCAGCGTGTTCCGGCAGGCCTATTCACTGAGCGTTTTTTGATAATATATGTGTGCCCGGAAGCTCTCCCGAAGGACCTTCGGAGGCTCTCCAGGTCCTTCCAGCGTTCTTCGATCGGCCTTTCTACGCCTGAGCGGCGCCCTGCTATCTGGGTTTGGGATTCCACAAGTCAAGTCTCACGACGCGAGCATGTGCGGGGAGCTGGCCTCGTCGAAACCGTCGCGAGGCCCGCCAGAGGTCGCCAGCGCGACCGTGCGCATGCCGAAGGCTCCGGCGCCTTTGGGCGGCAGCAGCTGCGGGCCCGCAGACGGCGCCGTGCCGCCCCCCCCCCCTTCCCCCTTCCCCCCCCCCCTTTCCTTCCCACCCACACCCTGCTTCCTCTTCCCTCCCTGAGATCCAGCTTCGCGGAGAAAGCCACTGTGCGAAAAGTCACGGCGGGAGCCCTAGACCCCATCGTTCTGAGGCACTTCTCGAGCCGGGCCGAGCTGTGATGGTCCCGACGCGCGAAGCCGAGCGAAAATCCCCAGTGCGCAAAAAGAGGCAACGCCCGGATCTCAGGACTTCGCTTTCCCCCTTGCCCTTCCCTGCTTCCCCTCCCCCTTCTCCTGCCCTTCCCTACGAGAAGGGCCATGCAGTGTACCATCTTTGAACTCCCTTGAGAGGCCGCTCCAATGCAATACGGGGCATGTTGTTTTTCTCCGGCATTGCGAGGGCTGACAGACATGCAGCGCACCACTCCTGGGTCGGGGATCGACGACGCTTCGGGAGACGCCAATGCGGTACCCATACCCCAGGCGTCATGATTTGTCATAACGTCGATCCCCAGAAGACTCGACCCATTCCCCAGGACCGGCTTTCATCCTGAGTCGTTCGTTGACGTTTCTGAGGCCCCGTGAGGGCCCCCATAAACTGAAAATAGAGAAGTACTTCCCGTCGATTTTTCTGGACTCGAGGGGGTCTAGGTACGGTGCACACAGGTCGGCCGCGGATTTCCCCGCTCCCACCCCTGCACCATTACTCCGCCCCCCGGCGGCAGCCGTGCAACCATGGGGTCCTACCCACAGCTCCGACAATGACGATCGTGCCAAACGAGGGTTTAGTTTCCCTCCCTCCCTCCCCCCCCCCCCCCCACTCCTTTCCCTTTTCCCTCTTTTTTCCTCTCTCTCTCCCCCCTCCTCCCGCCCTTCTTCCTCCTCTCTCCAACTCTTCATTCCTGTCTCTACACTTTCTGCTCTCCTCCTCCTCCCTCCTCTCCCCACCTCTCCCCTCTTCCTCCCCTCCTGCTTCTCCCCCTTTGTCGCGGCCAAGGGTGGATGAAATATCAAGCTCCCCCGCACGACAAATTCGTGTCGTGCTGACCTCGGCGTTGGTGCACGATGCGAACGCACCGTAGTATGTTCCAAAAGTCTTCGGGCGTCCCGCAATGCACCCCGCCCACTCCAGCCCAGAATCGGATTGGCTGAACTCAGGGAGGCACCAAGTAATCGCAAAGGATCTACAATAACCTCATCTTCATAATTGGAACTGCTCATTTTTCTGCGCGGGTTAGTGGACGGATTGGGACCGAAAACGGTACTGGGGAAATACTTCCCCTCCTGCGGCGGCCACTGCGGAGACCTTCGCCATCTTCATCGTCATACGAAGACGGAAACGATCAACAACTTCTCCAGAGGCACGAGGGAGCCGACACTGAGACAGCTGGAAACAAACCATCGGGATGTGCACAACCGTCTTTGTACGAAGATGCTCGAAGCTCCTCCCACGGCGGGTTATCCGCTGGTAGCAGCAACAACTCAACAATCCCATGCACGACCACCAATAGTGCGCAAATAACTACACACGCGGCAGAACCCAACCAAGCTCACCACAACTATGACGGGCTCTGACTGTACAGCGCGATCACCTGTGCGATTCCCATATGAAGACTACGGCGGTCACGACGATCACAACGACGAATACCACGCGCATGCTCGATTGGAGATGTAGCGAATTATCTCCCAATCCATCTACAAACGACCTCGAACTTCCTCGAACTTCCTCTATCGTGCAGGGTAGCCCAGCCAGAATTTTCCGATGGAAGAAAGAACCACCCAGCAATACCCAGCACGGAACACAATAGTGCCTAAATAATTGCACGCGCGGCCACCACCGAGCAAGCTCGAGGAGGAGGGCGAGGAGGGAGAGTGAGGAGGAGGGCGAGGAGAGGAGGGGCGAGGAGAGGAGGGACGACTAGTCCCAGCCGAGAATTGAGGGGGGGGGGGCATCATTAAACACCCGCTGCATCATTGCAGTCACTGGAATACAACTGCAATTAGAATGTTCGGCATGGTCTTAGAATCCACCCGCCTGTTCCACAATCTGGACTACGGGTGAGGACTCCTGTGGTTTGGGTTGTTCCCTGATTATACCACCCCAGTCGAGAACCTGACAAACCGAATTACGGGCAACCTGCTCATCGTAGGAAACAACATACACCTTACGTGAAACTTTCAGGTTCTCCAGCATTCAACATCTCGACGGGAAACCGTCCTTAATCGCCGTCTGAATCATTCCAACTTCATTCGCGGGGACTGGATTATCTACCAGCCAGGGTTTGGGATGACGAGAGGTCCAACGAACACAATGACAACAAGTAGACGTCCCGAACTCCCCCCCCAATGGGTCCAGAATCTACAATAGGAAAACTGGGAAGCCCAAAACACTTTCTTGTCGCGGCGCTGGCGTTCGCTCAGCTGCTGCTGGGAATTTTTGCTTAGCGTGTCGCGGCGGCGGCCCTGGCGACACGCTATGCCTTGCGAGTGGATGGCGCGTCGCTGCGCTCTGTGGGATATGACGTCGGGAAAGGCTCGCGACGTTGACGCCTGAGGGCTGGTGCATGGATGGCGTGCTGCGCCGGAGCGCGGTGGGGCAGAGCTGGCGGAGCGACGCGCCGAGCCAAAAAGTCCCCGACCGCAGGCCGGGCCGCAGAACGGCGGATGGAGAGCCCCAAAGACGGGGACCGCAGCATCGCAGTGGCAGGATCCCGCGAGCACGCGGTCGCAGGAGGAGGAGGAGGAGGAGGAGGAGGAGGGAGGAGGAGGAGGAGGAGGAGGAGGAGGAGGAGGAGGAGGAGGAGGAGGAGGAGGAGGAGGAGGGAGGAGGGGGAGGAGAAGAGGGTCTGGGCCCGGCTCGGGGCGGCGCGTCTGGCGATCACGGCCGAGATGTCTCCCGCGCCGAGCAGCCCCATGGTCAGGGAGGACAGGCGCGGCCGCTTCTTGAAGGGGCCGGGTGCCCACTCCGCCTTCGCCTGGAAGGCGCCGAGCCTCTGCCAGTCCTCTGGGAAGGCCGCGTGCTTCTCCTCATGTTCATCCTCCTGTTCATCCTCCTTCTCCTCCTACTCCCCCCCCGAGCGTGCACTTAGCACGCACTCTAAAACCGTGTGTGATAACATTCTAGGTGGCACAATATACGTGGTGCAATTCATCTGTGGAACTCGCAAATGTCAAATCCACTGCTCGCGCAATCATCCCATCCACCCACCCGCAATTTGCTTTGCAAAACACATGCGGCGGCGATTGCGATGAATGCTTGGCGCTGGCTGGTACATCTTCGCAGCCGCGCTAGCCCGCGTACGCTCGCACGCGAAGCGGCCAGCTAGTTTGGCGCGACCGACGCGGCCGCGGTGGCGCTGACCTCTGGGCACTTCCCAATGGTCACTTCAGTGCGAGTCGGCGGCTTGGTAGGGCGCGCTAGCATGGCAACGTCGGCAACGGTGGACACGATGATGATAGCAGCGACGCTGGTGACGATGATGATAACGGCGACGACACGGCCAAACACGGCGCCGATGCTGATCACGCCGACGACGATGAAGGCGTCCTCGTGTCGGTGATGGAGGTCTTGGAAGGAGTTCGACATGAGCGCGCGGCCGACGCGCGAGAGTGGCCCGCACGGTAATATTTGACACGGGTCATGCCCCCCAGAACGCGCGCAAAGGGCGTTCGAATGATGCCGACATGCGGCCCGAAAAAGTCAGTTTGGCAGAATTGTATGGAACTGTTGGAAACTAATATGATTATGTGGGAGCATTCGCAAGAGCGCGAGCTCAGTTTTTTGTTTGAGAACTGATGTTGCGAAACGATGTGTTGTTGCATGTGTTCGGGGGGCTCGATATCGAAATCCTTACGACACCGATGGGTTGTCACGGATTTCGGCTTGCCCGCGCGACGACGCGCGCGCGTGCACTTCGTCCGATCTGTTGCAAGGGATTCTTGCGACAGCACGCGCGCAAGGGCGTTCAAGCAATTTCGGCACGCCCGCGCGAGAGGCTCATTTGGTAGCATTGTATAGTGGTGTTGGGACACCTAGGTGTTGTAAACATGATGGACCCACAAACCCGGAAAGGGCTATAAGGACATGTAGGGAGCTTATGGGACACGTTTTCACGCAACCCAAAAGGGCAACACCTCACGAAAACGTGTCCATCGAGACACTTCACGAAACATCCCACGAGACACCTCAGAAACATTCCACGAGACACCCCGTGAAACATTCCACGAGACACCCCACGAACAGGCAACCACTCAACCAGACACGCCACGAAACATTCCACGGGGGTGCGACTGGGTGTGGTCGTGCTGGGGTGTGGTCGTGCTGGAGTATGGTCGTGTTGGGGTGTGGTCGTGCTGGGGTGTGGTCGTGCTGGGGTGTGGTCGTGCTGGGGTGGGGTCGTGCTAGGGGGGTGGTCGTGCTGGGGGGTGGTCGTGCTGGGGCGTGGTCGTGCTGGGGCGTGGTCGTGCTGGGGCGTGGTCGTGCTGGGGTGGGGTCGTGCTGTGGTGAGGTCGTGCTGGGGTGTGGTCGTGCTGGGGTGTGGTCTTGCTGGGGTGGGGTCGTGCTGGGGTGGGGTCCTGCTGGGGTGTGGTCGTGCTGGGGTGTGGTCGTGCTGGGGTGGGGTCGTGCTTGGGTGGGGTCGTGCTGGGGTGTGGTCGTTCTGGGGTGTGGTCGTGCTGGGGTGTGGTCGTGCTAGGGTGGGGTCGTGCTGGGGTGGGGTCGTGCTGGGGTGTGGTCGTGCTGGGGTGTGGTCGTGCTGGGGTGTGGTCGTGCTGGGGCGTGGTCGTGCTGGGCTGGGGTCGTGCTGGGGTGGGGTCGTGCTGGGGTGTGGTCGTGCTGGGGTGGTCCGCACCCTGTGATTTATCGATCGGGTCGTGCTGGGGTGTGGTCGTGCTAGTGCTGGGGTGTGGTCGTGCTGGGGTGTGGTCGTGCTGGGGTGTGGTCGTGCTGGGGTGTGGTCGTGCTGTGGTGTGGTCGTGCTGAGGCGTGGTCGTGCTGGGCGTGGTCGTGCTGGGGTGTGGTCATGCTGGGGGTGTGGTCGTGCTGAGGTGTCCCGCACCCTGTGATTTATCGATCGGGATTTCAAAAACAAGCGTTTCGCCTGAGACATCCTCAATTTTTAATCCGCCGGCCTCCTTCGACCTCGATATTTATCAGGGAAAAAATCCGCCGGCCTCCTTCAAGTTGGGCACCGGGGACATGTTTACATACTAAAAGAGAACCCTTCAGGGCGGAGCCCTTTCCGGGAAAAATGCGCAAGGGCGCGTGCACAAACTTTTTTTTTTCACAACTGTATTGCGAAACCATGCGCTTTTTTCTCTGTTTTCTTCATTTTCTCTCTTCCGAAAAAATCGGGACACTCGATTTTGAGCTCCGTTCGAAACCTGTGGGTGTTGAAGAATGTTGGTGGCATCGCGCGCGGCGGCGCGCGCGCCCGCACTTTCGTCCCGTCTGTTGCAAAATTCGCCAGGGCGCGCGCGCAGAGATTGTTTGAACACTGAGGTCGCAACGCCATATGTTTTTGCTAGGCACGTTTCCGGAACACTCGTTCCTGAAATCCTTTCGCAACCTATGGGATTTGATGGATTTCGGCATGACCGCGCGACGACGCGCGCGCGTGCACTTCGCCCAGTTTTTTATGTTAAAAAATAACTATGTTGCAGAGGATTGTTGCGACAATACCCGTGCAAGGGCGCTCGAGCGATTTCGACATGCTCGCGCGAGAGGACCGTTGGCAGCTTTTGAAGAGAATGTTGAATAACATATGGTTTTGTTGAGGATTCGCAAGAGCGCGAGCGAAGGCTGTCTTTGAAGAAGTGCTGCGAAACAATGTTTATCATATGCTTTCGGGGCACCCGGTTGTGAGTTCCTTGCGAACCTGATGTTGTTGAAAGATTTCAACATGCGCGTACGAAGACGCGTGCGTGTGCACTTCGCCCCACCTCTTGCAAATGATTATTGCAAACGGGTGATTCATGATAAACGATTGCGCGAGCAACATATCTTCCGCAGGAAATGAGGAAGGGGACCGATATCGGCCTGCCTGGGATGGTGCAAATTCATATTCAAGATGTACGATCGGGCAGACTCGTATGTAAATTGTCATACGAAAAGGGGTACCGCTAAGTCCGGGGGGAGGGATATCCGATTTCGTCAGAGAACAAATGAATCTGGCGAAAACCACATACTGCCGGTGGGAGCGACGTAGTGCAATTTATGTGGTGCACTCTATGCGGTACCATATTTCCCAGACGAACAAACCAAATCCACACTGCACCTTCTCAATTGCCATGCGATTCAACATGATGGACCCACGAACCCGGAAAGGGATATAGACATGTGCAGCATGGTCACGTTTTCACGATATCCAACTGGGCGACACCTCACGAAACATCCCACGAGACACCCCGCGAAACATCCCAGGAGACACCTCACGAAGAACAACACGAGACACTCACGAAAAATGCACGAAGGGGACACCCCGTGAACATACCACGAGGACCCCCACGATCAGGCAACTCTCAACCAGACACCACGAACATCACGGGGGTTGCGGACTGGGTGTTGTCGTGTGGTGGTGTGGTAAGTGTGGAGTTTGGTGTGTTGGGGTGTGGTCGTGTGGGGTTGGTGTGATGGGGGTGGTTCGTGTGGGGGGTGTGGGCGTGTAGGGGGGTGGTCGTGTTGGGGTGTGGTCGTGCTGGGGTGTGGTCGTGCTGGGGTGTGGTCGTGCTGGGGTGTGGTCGTGCTAGGGGGGTGGTCGTGCTGGGGGGTGGTCGTGCTGGGGCGTGGTCGTGCTGGGGCGTGGTCGTGCTGGGGCGTGGTCGTGCTGGGGTGTGGTCGTGCTGTGGTGAGGTCGTGCTGGGGTGTGGTCGTGCTGGGGTGTGGTCTTGCTGGGGTGGGGTCGTGCTGGGGTGTGGTCGTGCTGGGGTGTGGTCGTGCTGGGGTGTGGTCGTGCTGTGGTGGGGTCGTGCTGGGGTGGGGTCGTGCTGGGGTGTGGTCGTGCTGGGGTGTGGTCGTGCTGGGGTGTGGTCGTGCTTGGGGTGTGGTCGTGCTGGGGGGTGGTCGTGCTGGGGCGTGGTCGTGCTGGGGCGTGGTCGTGCTGGGTGGTCCGCACCCTGTGATTTATCATGCGGGTCGTGTGGGCGTGTGTGTGCTGGGGCATCATTGTGGTTCGTGTGGGGGTGGTGGCTCGTGTGGGGTGTGGTTGCGTGGGGGTGTGGTCGTGGATGGGCGCGTGGTCGTGATGGGGAGTGGTCGTGGCTGGGTGTGGGTGTGCTGGGGATGTGGTCGTGTGGGTGGCCCGCACCTGTTGATTTAACGATGGGATTTCAAAAACAAGCGTTTCGCTGAGACATCTCAAAATTTTAATCGTCCGGCCTCCTTCGACCTCGATATTTATCAAGGAAAGAATCCGCTGGCCTCCTTCAAGTTGGGCACGGGGGGACATTGTTTACATACTAAAAGAGAACCCTGGGCCTTTGTCCTTTCCGGGAAAAAGGTGCCAAGCAGACCGGGTGAAATCCACGAGCCGACCTGCGATAAGCAAACTAATGGGGTGATCCGTGACCTGAGGGAGAACGAGAGCGCGAGAAATAACGAATCACCCCCGCTCCCTGCGCTGGCCGCAGGCCAGAGGATACGTCAAACGATGCGCCCCGCCAGAATAAGTGTTACTTGCACCTAAGTAGGCAGTGTGGTTGCCAAAGTTTCTTGCCAGGGCGGGTGAGAACAGGATGACTGGTAGGAGCCCAGATATGGCGCAATATCTGTGATGCAAGCAATGTGGTGCATGCAAAGCAATACAAATCAATGTCTAGTAATAGAAAGCATAACAGAGAACGCAATGCACATCAAATTAATGCAATGCAATGCAATGCAAAATAACGCAACGCAGTGCACAGTAACGCAATTCAGCTCAAAACAATACAGCGCAATGCAATGCAATGCAACGCAATGCAAAGCAATGCAGTGTGAAGCAATGCGGAGCAGCATGAAGCAATGCAGCGCAGTGCAAAGCAATGCACAGCGGGCGACGACAAAGCGACGGGCGGCGACGAGGTGGAGACAGGGGCCGCATGGAGACCGGAGCGGCGCGCGGGCCCAGGCGACCGGGCGGCGATGGGTGGCGAAGGGCGGCGACGAGGCGGCCACACGGCGGCCAGAGCGGCCCGCAGGCCCAGGACACAGGCGGGGACGGCGGCGGTGGCGGCGACATGGCGGCCAGAGCGGCCCGCAGGCCCAGTCGAGGGGTGGCGACAGACGGCCACGCGACGGCGACGCCGGCTACACGGCGGCCAGAGCGGCCCGCAGGCCCAGTTACTTAGAGGATGAATAGGAAGCCCAGCTGCAAGCACTGTTTGGGGAACCATCTTCAATCTTATCCGCCCAACTTGTCCCCACTACAACCGCTCCTCGACGAACCCCTCCTACTTCCCCTCTGCCTCCCAATGGCTTCCCCCTTCCACTTTTTACTCCTCCTCCTACCCTTTCGCCGTCCCATCCCAAAACTCAACCTCCCACCCCCGCTTCACCTCCTCAACCTCCTCCTCGCCCTCCTCCTCCTCCTCCTCCTCCTCCTCCTCCTCCACCTCCTCTCTCCTTCCTAACCTACTCTCTCACTCTCTCCCCTATCTCCTACTCTCTCCTCCTCCTCCCCCTGATTGATCGGAAATCTACTTTCACTTTCATGACCATCATCTTCCTCATCCCAGTGATTCCATATGCCTTCTGCTTCCTCCGTGTCCTCATCCTCTGCTTCTCTAATCTGGCTAGTCCCAACTCGCCTGCGTCTCCTCCTCCTTCTCCCCTTTTCTCTCTCCTCCCCTACTCCTCACTCCTCCTCATCTTCACTGCTCCTCCTCTCCTCCCCGTTTCCTCCTCCTCCTCCTCCTCCTCCTCCTCCTCCTCCTCTTTCGCCTCCCTCAGCCTCCTCCGCCTATTGCTACTTTGTCATTTCTGTTGGCCTCACCCTCCTCGTGCTCAGCTCGTCCCCCCACCTCCTTTCCTCCTCCTCCTCCTCCTGCTTTTCCCGCGTCCTCATCATCTCCACCTCTCCTCCTCCTCCTCCTCCTTATCCTCCTCCTCCACCTAGCCTGATCCCCACCCATACTTGTTCATGCCGTTTCCTTGTAAGAAACTCTTACATGCCGCACCCCAAACATGTCGATAGGGCATGCCAGGCGTTTCGCCTGAGACTTCCTCACCACTTTGACACTGAAACTGAAGTTCTGTAGAAAAAGTTCACGTAAGAAGGGCGCGCCGTTTTCAAACTGAGTCTATCGCCGCCTTGGCGCCGCGCTTATTCGTATTGCGAACTTGCCACAGCTTCACTGATGGTGGTCGGGTGGTTTTCAAAATGTGGCTCTCGCCTGAGCACCGCGCGCATTTGTCTTACAAGTTTGCAACAGCTTCGCTAATGGAGGGCGCTTCGTGCTCAACATGCGGCTCTTGCCATAGCGCCGCGCGCACGTGTCTTAAATGTTTGTAGCGGCTACGGATTCGCATGGTTGAAGTCCCAAGAGCGGTGTTCCGGCACAATTTGGGACTGTCAGGACGAAACAATCATGTGGATGACATGTGTTGGAGTGCTAAGAATGGTTCTCCGGTACGGCTTAGGGCTGCCAGGACGTTACTGTCATGTTAACTCGCGGCGCTGAAATCCCAGTAGCGGTTATTTGCCACGGTAAGTGATTTGAAACGTTTGTCTTCCAATGGGGCACTGCCCGCGATGAAAATTAACTATTGCAGGGACCTGTGAATAAGGACCTTGGAGGGAAGGGTGTATTGCAATATCGTTGATGCATCTTGGGTTCACACTGGTCCTGCTCCTAGTACTCCAGCACCTTCTCATCATCCCCGTCCCGCCGCACATGGGTGCCGGCTTTACGCGTGTGGTGTCTGTCCTGTTTGACCATGCCCTCCCCATCGGTCTTGTCTCCCCTCCCTGCTGGCGCCGTTGCTTCCACGCTTTCAGGAGGCTCATCGCAATCTTGTGCTGCACGCCGCCAAGCTTCCATGCGTCGGCCACTGCCGCCCTCTCCCTTGTCAGTGGCCACGACGTGCTTGGGGGAACGGTGCCGAGACGCACTCCGCGCACAGACAGGGCACGAGGGACGCAAACCGAAACTGTTTGTCGAATGCTGTGGGGGGTGGAGCCTGTGCTCAAGGTAGGCTGCGGCACCACTCGCCACTGCCTCCCCATTCAGTGGCGAGCCGCTCCACTCCAGGCCACGCCGACTCTGAAATGCAGCCGATGCCGTTTTAAAACCTGCTCCGCCGAGCCCAAGACGAACGACTGACACGAGCCCAACACACGCCTTGTCCACAAAATTGACCCCCAAGGGTCTGCACTTGGTTTTTTTGGGGGGTGACGCATGCGGGCGGTGGCACTGGGGCCTTCGGTGGAGCTCCCTATGGGGCCACGGAACGTGTGAGGGGTGTGCCGAGGTTGTTGACATGCGGAGAGCAGAGGCAAGGAGGGGGAGGAGGGATGAGAGGGAGGAGGAAGGAGGCGGGAGGAGGAGAACGCGGGGCGCCGTCTCTGCAAAACGAGGGCCCAACACCACAGGATGGTTGGGAATAAGGACACATCGTCGGATATCATGGCCCTCCTCCTCCTCCTCCTCCTCCTCCTCCTCCTCCTCCTCCTCCTCCTCCCCCTTCCCTCGCCGCCGATCCTCCAGGAAGACCGCCCCGAGCACGTACTCGGCCATCTGCCCCCCGAAGCAGCCCGCGAGCCGCGTGCACGTGAAGTCCCGTCGCCGCGAGGCCGCCAGCGCGTTGACGCCGGCCCAGGTGGACTGTAGCCAGCGGAGGCCTCGCCAGACATCATGCAGTGGTAACTCTTGTTGGCGGCGAGCGAGAAGGGGGAAGTGAGAAGGGGAAGGCCTTCTCAGAAGGCTTGGGGCCTTCCGAGCCTTCTGAGAAGGCCCCCCCCTTCTCGCTTCCCCCCGCGCTCGTCGCCGATTTTGCGAGTCGACGCTAATCGACGCTAGATCAACGCCAATCGACGCCAAAGCGGCGCTGTCTCATCGGTTCCCAGACGCTACGCGGCGCCCAGGCGGACTGCAGCCAGCGGAGCTCAGCTGCCCCGGTACGCAGCAAGTAGCACGTCGTAGCGTGATGCCTCGGAGCTCCACGCGTAGACTGAACACGCAGGTCTGGCGCGAGACGTTCGCCCAACGCGCGGGCCAATGCGCTGAGCCAACACGCAGCGCGTTGACACGGACGTTTTGAGTCCGGTACGTGCCTTGTATCAAAACGGGCTGGCCGAGGCAGCGACGCAGCGGAGGCCTCGCCAGACGTCGGCACGGTCCCCGGCTCTCCGACGCCACGGCTCTCTCCTCTCGAGCCCGGCGCCCTCCCTCGACGTCGAGCTCCGGGGCGCGCCGTCGGGCCCAACGGGGCCATCGAGAGGGGGCCCGGGAGGAGCAGCGAGCCGGGAGGTTTCTGGGGCAGCGGAGGGAGCAAGCCACGAGTGCTAAACATGATGGACCCACGAACCCGGAAAGGGATATAGACATGTGCAGCATGGTCACGTTTTCACGATATCCAACTGGGCGACACCTCACGAAACATCCCACGAGACACCCCGCGAAACATCCCAGGAGACACCTCACGAAACAACCCACGAGACACCTCACGAAACATTCCACGATACACCCCGTGAAACATTCCACGAGACACCCCACGAACAGGCAACCACTCAACCAGACACCCCACGAAACATTCCACGGGGGTGCGACTGGGTGTGGTCGTGCTGGGGTGTGGTCATGCTGGAGTATGGTCGTGTTGGGGTGTGGTCGTGCTGGGGTGTGGTCGTGCTGGGGGGTGGTCGTGCTGGGGGGTGGTTGTGCTAGGGGGGTGTTCGTGCTGGGGGGTGGTCGTGCTGGGGCGTGGTCGTGCTGGGGCGTGGTCGTACTGGGGCGTGGTCGTGCGGGGGTGGTGTCGTGCTGTGGGGGTGTCCGTGCTGGGTGTGGTCGTGCTGGGGTGTGGTCTTGATGGGGATGGGGTCGTGCTGGGGGTTCGTGCTGGGGTGTGGTCGTGCTGGGGTGTGTCGTGCTGTGGTGGGGTCGTGCTGGGGTGGGGTCGTGCTGGGGTGTGGTCGTGCTGGGGTGTGGTCGTGCTGGGGTGTGGTCGTGCTAGGGTGGGGTAGTGCTGGGGTGTGGTCGTGCTGGGGTGTGGTCGTGCTGGGGTGTGGTCGTGCTGGGGAGTGGTCGTGCTGGGGGGTCGTGCTGGGGCGTGGTCGTGCTGGGGCGTGGTCGTGCTGGGGCGTGGTCGTGCTGGGGCGTGGTCGTGCTGTGGTGAGGTCGTGCTGGGGTGTGGTCGTGCTGGGGTGTGGTCTTGCTGGGGTAGGGTCGTGCTGGGGTCGGGTCGTGCTGGGGTGTGGTCGTGCTGGGGTATGGTCGTGCTGGGGTGGGGTCTGGTCGTGCTGGGGTGTGGTCGTGCTGGGGGGTGGTCGTGCTCGGGGGTGGTCGTGCTGGGGGGGTGGTCGTGCTGGGGGGTGGTCGTGCTGGGGCGTGGTCGTGCTGGGGCGTGGTCGTGCTGGGGCGTGGTCGTGCTGGGGTGTGGTCGTGCTGTGGTGAGGTCGTGCTGGGGTGTGGTCGTGCTGGGGTGTGTCTTGCTGGGGTAGGGTCGTGCTGGGGTCGGGTCGTGCTGGGGTGTGGTCGTGCTGGGGTATGGTCGTGCTGGGGTGGGGTCGTGCTGGGGTGGGGTCGTGCTGGGGTCTGGTCGTGCTGGGGTGTGTCGTGCTGGGGTATGGTCGTGCTAGGGTGGGGTCGTGCATTTCGCTCGAGACATCCTGCCAAAATTCCAGGAAATCGTACAAAAACAAACGAATTAGTCGAGACATCATCGAAATTCCTTCGCGCGGGGCGCTTTTCCGCGTCGCGGGTCGCTCTGGCAAAACAAGCGTTTCGCTCGAGCATCCTCTGCAAACTCTCTGCGAGCAGCGTTGCGGGGGGGGGGGCTTCAGGACATCCCTCAACACACGAAAGTGGCCCGCACCCTGGTGATTTTATCGATCGGGATTTCAAAACAAGCGTTTCGCTCGAGACATCCTCAAATTTTAATTCGCCGTCCTCCTTCGACCTCGTTATTTATCAGGGAAAAAATTCGCCGGCCTCCCTCAAGTTGGCACCGGGGGACAGGTTTACCTACTAAAAGAGAACCCTGGGCCCGCGCCCTTTCCGGGAAAAAGAGCCCTCCAGACCTACATACCCATCTGGACTGCTCACAACCTCGACAGACATTGAGACGCCGAGGTCCTGGTGCTATCTTTTAGCCCTCGTGGAAGGTCAGGGTGTGCTGGGGGGTCTTCCTCGGAGGGATGCGGGAGAAGTGAGACCCCCAGTGGAAGGGGGGGGCTGTTGCGCCGGATGGGGCCGCGGAGGAAGCGGGATTCGGCAGGATGGAGCCCGACTCGGCGTGACCGAGCGGGATTGGGCCGATTCGGGCCGGGTTTCGGACCAGGGCAAAGTCAGAAGGGCACCTCCCAGGAGGTGCACTCGAAGGCGTGGGGACGTTGTCTGGTAACTCTCGGTCGGGCACGTCCTGCTACAGGCAGGACGGGCAGGCGGGCAGGAGTTTGGGCGACAAGCAGCAAGGATTCATACAGAATGCACGCAGATCACCCCAAATCAAAGGCTCCCAACTTCGCGCTTCGCGCTGCGCGAAGCGCAAAGTGCGAATAACTTCGCGCTCTCGCGCCGCCTCCCAGGGGAGAAGAGGAGGATGGGGAGGCATCGGAGCCGAGCCGCGAAGCGCGAAGCGAGAACAACTCCGCGCCCTCGAGGGCGCCCTTGCAAGATAGTCGACGAAATCGTCCCCAGACTTTCTGGGGGGGCTAACTTTGGAACATTCCGCCCGTAGCGGGACGCGCCCTACCTCCGCGCAGCGCTCGCGAATATCCCTGGGGCAGCGGAGGCCGCGCCGCCCCCTCCCGAAGGGCACCGGACGCGCACCTCGAGCACTGCGGGGAGCGATGCTCTCCTGGCGTTAAGTCGGGCCTGTCCCCCTACAGGGGGATGTTGGATGAAAGTTTAAGAATACGCAAACAATATTTCAAACTGGTCAAAAAATACGCTAAAAATAGTCCCCAGACTATTCTTTGACTATTTCTGCATATTCCCCCTGTAGAGGGACAAGCCCGACTTACTCCTGGCGACGCGCGACGGCGACCCCGGGCAGGAGCGGCCTGCGATGCGCTCGGGCCGGGCGAAAGGGGGGGATAGCAACAGGGGGGGGTGAGAATCAGCTCGCGCCGCTGATCTTCCTGGCGCCTCCCGGCGCCCATGTGTCGAGCGGGGCCGAAACCGGCTACACGCAGCAGATTTCGGTAACCGCCCCCTTTCCCTATCCCCCCTCCTCCTCCTCCTCCTCCTCCTCCTCCTCCCTCCTCCTCCTCCTCCTCCTCCTCTCCTCACCTCCTCCTCTCCTCCTCCTCCCCCTCGCCTCCTCCCCTCTCCTCCTCCTCCCCTCCTCCATCCTCCTCCTCCTCCTCCTCCTCCTCCTCCTCCTCCTCCTCCTCCTCCTCCTCCCCTTCGTCCAGCCCGGTGCGCGGGGGCGACCCCGGGCGAGAGCGGCTCCTCTCGCCTGCGCGCGGAGGTGGCCCTGGGCAGGAGTGGCTCGTGATGCGCGGGGCTGGCGGCGCGCACAAGGGGGTGGAGGGAGGGGGGAGGGCTTCTTAGAAGGAGGCTGCTTCTTAGAAGGCGCCAGCCCTTACCCTCTTAGAGAAGGCCCTCGCCTTCTAAGAAGCAGGGGTGCTTCCAAGAAGCCCTCCCCCCTCCCCCCACCCCCCTCTGCGTGTGGCTGAGCCCTGGCGACGGTGGTGCCGCTTCGCCTCCCCGCTTCTTGGAGGCGGCCAGGGGGTCCGAACTGGCCGGGGCACCGGAAAATCGGTCAGGGCGGGACGAAGCCAGCTCCGCTCAAAATCGGTCCCTGGGCCCCGTCCCGGGTCCATCTGGTGCATTTTCCACCCAGGATCCCTTTTTCACTCATCCCGATGCGATGCTTGAGCACGGCCCCAGGAGGCTGAAAATGTTCAGACACCTCCCCGAACCCAGAAGACCCAAGACCTGCCCGCCCTCCCTGCTGGCCGGACCTGGTCCTGGGCATTCTCAACCCCCCCAGGCGGCTCCAACCCACCCCCCTCCTCCTGCTGGAAATGAACAAGGCCTCCTGGGTCGGGATCGGGAGTAGATGGGTTTGGAGGAGTCCCTTGGGTTGGTGTAGATGGGGTTCAAGCCTCCGTGGCTCGGAGTAGTTGGGGTCGGAAGCTCGCGCCGCAGCGCCGATGCATCGGCGTTGCACCGGCGGCGTCGACGAGAAGCACATCGGGACACGCACCGGGCCGCATCGGCGACGCATCGGCGAGGCGGCGCGACGGCCCCATCCAGGAGGAGGAGGAGGAGGAGGAGGAGGAGAGGGAGAGGCGGAGGGTAGGGGGGGGAGGGAGGGGGAGGGGAATAGGGTGAGCGAGGGAGGAGGAGGAAGGGATGAGTAGGAGGTGAGAGGAGGAGGAGGAGGGGGAACGGGGGAGGAGGGGGATGAAGGAGGAGGAGGAGTAGGGAGGAAGGATGAGGAGGGAGAGAGGAGGAGGAGGGAGGAGGAGGGGGCCCGCAGTGGGGCAGTGGCCGGGCCTTCCACGGAGTCGAGCACCGGGGCGACGCGGCCGGGGTCCGCCAGCAGGAGCTCCGCGCGCGCGCCCGCGCGGGGGGGGTCGACAGGCAGCTCCTCGAGGCGCAGGGCGTACCTGGCCGACAGCGGCGAGGCAGAGAAGGCCTTCTCCACTACACACGGCAACGCTCACAATCTCCACGACCGCCACGCAACGTCCAAAGGGCGGGGCCGCTCCGTGGGGGAACAATGCAGGCACTTCTCCTTCTCCTCCTCCTCCCTCCCTCCTCCCTCCTCCTCCCCTCCGCCTCCTCCTCCTCCTCCTCCTCCTCCTCCTCCTCCTCCTCCTCCTCCTCCTTCTCCTCCCCTCCCTCCTCCTCCTCCCTCGCCTCCCGTCCTCCCTCCCCTCCTCCTCCCTCCCTCCTCCTCCTCCCTCCCTCCCTCCTCCTCCTCCGCGGGGGGGCCGCGGGCTCTCCTCCTCCTTCTCCCCGAGGCGCCTGCTCTCCCCATGCGTCGGAACGCGCGAGTCGGGATCGAATACCGTGGCTGGAGGCTCTTCGCGGGGTCCGGATCCTGGGGGCCATCCCCGGGCCTCGGGGCCGTCCAACAGCGACGCAGGACGGCAAGCCGTCCCCAGGACAGGGTCCGGACCTCCGGAGTTCCGCGTCGTGACACACATGGACAAGTTCAAGAGATCAAATGCAGAGGGACCGCATGCGCGAATTCGGTCAGAGCGCGCGTCTGTGCCCGCTCCTTCGCCGCCTCGGCAGAGCAAACCCTCCCCTGGCTCGACGGATACCCCCTCTCCCCTCGTCATCCTCGACAAAATCCTGCGCACCCCCTCTCAGAGATCCGACCTCGTGATCGTTTCACGGCGTGGCCCCCCAGAGCTCTGGACCTTTTCCCTGGGACCAGCCTGGCCAGCGTTTCACCCACAGCTCTCTTGCGGAATGATTCTGTCACGCCGAACGTCGACCCCCAGAGGTCTCGACCCATTACCCGGGACCGATTCTTCATCCTGAATTGTTTTCAGACGGTCCGGAGGCCTGGGAAGGACCCCCAGAAGCCGAAAATACCAAGAGTATCCTGGCGAGGGACCAAGCCGTATGCAGTTGTGAGTACCGTCGTTGCGGGTGTTGCCTTCGGGGGATCTCCTCATGGGGCCACCATGAAGTATGCGAAGGGTGTGCCGGCATGGGGCGGGGCCGCCATGTGGGCGTTGCCAATGGGGCTTTAGGTGGACCCACTATGGGGCCGCAAAACGTGTGATGGGTGAGCCGCCATGGGGCGGGGTCGCCGCCCTGGCGATTCGGCCTCCGTGGAGCTCCCACTGAGGCCGCGAAGCGTGCGAGAGGAGGGTGGCGATGATGATAATGACGATGACGACGCCAATGACGATGGAGCTTCTCATGTGGACACGAGGCGCTGTATCGTGTGAGGAGACGCGCATGCGTCCCGCGGCCACAGGGACCTCCGGTGGCCCGATGGACCTCCGTATGGGGCCACGAGGCGCTGTACTGAGTGTGGGAGGCGCGTCCGAACACCGCCACTGCAGCCTTCGGTGGAGCTCCCTTTATGGAGCCCCGAAGCGGTGTACTGGGTGGGGCAGACGCATGCGAACACCGCCACTGGCACCTTCGGTGGAGCTCCCTATGGGGCCATGAAGCGATGTACTGGGTGGGGGAGGCGCATGCGATAACCTCCACAGGGACCTTCGGTGGAGCTCCCTGTGGGGGCAACGAAGCGCCGTACTGAATAGGGGAGACGCATGTGAACACCACCACTGAGGCCTTCGGTGGAGCTTCATATAGGGCCAAGAGCCGCTGTACTGAGTGGTGAAAACGCCAGAGAACACAGCCACTGGGGCCTTCGGTGGAGCTTCCTCTGGGGCAACGAGGCGCTGTACTGGGTGGGGGAGACGCGTGCCAAAACCGCCACTGGGGCCTTCGGTGGAGCTCCCTTTGGGGCCACGAGGCGCTGCCCTGGGTGGGGGAGACGCATGCGAACACTGCCACTGAGGCCTTCGGTGGAGTTCCCTGTGGAGCCACGAAGCGTCTGAGGGTTGCGCCGAAAGTGGTATGGATGATGGTGATGATAACTGCGATCGTGATGACGACGATGACGATGACGATGACGATGATAATGATGATGATGATGATGATGATGATGATGATGGTGGTGATGATGATGATGATAATGATGATGATGATGATGATGATGATGATGACGATGATGCTGATGAGATTGATGATGATGGTGCTGATGCGGATGATGATGATGATGATGATGATGATGATGATGATGATGATGATGATGATGATGATGATGATGATGATGAGGCTGACGATGATGATGCTGATGCTAATGATGTTGTTGCGCATGATGGTGCTTACGATGATGATAATGATGATGATGCTGATGATGATGATGATGATGCTGCTGATGATGACGATGATGATGATGATGATGATGATGATGATGATGATGATGCTGATGG